AACTGAATCGCATCAAATCCCACCCCTAGAATGAGGCAGCCGCCCCGTTCCATTGGGGCGAGGCCTCAGAGCAGATACTCAATGGACAACCAGTTCACCAAAAATGTGTCTCCTGAGGACTCCTCCAACTCAGTTATCTGCATGTTTTCAGTTCTTCTCTATAGAACCAGAATTGGAATGGAGGAGATACTAAGTGAAATAATGTAGATAATCTAGGACAGTGATTGGCACTTAGGAAAAAGACACTTGTCGTGTAACACTGAAGTCCCCAGCTGCAATGAACACAGGGCACGCCCCTTCCTGTCTGAAGGGTGCTCCAGCCACCAAGTCTCACATCAGCCCCTTACAAGAGAAATGAGGCTAGGATGGGGGACCTTCCCTGGGGAGCAGTAGTCCTCCTGGGGAGAAACTTTCCCAAACCCAGGACCTTGTTTTGTTTTTGTTTTCCTTTGGTAGTGAGAGTATTTTGGAGGTGAAATCATGTAAATTTGGATAACTGAGTAAAGGTAAACTATAAAGGGAAGTGGTAGAAATAAAGGATGGGAGAGGTGGAAGAAAAAAACACATTAATGCTATTGAGTCAATATTAGTCTTGTCAGGGTGAAGCACGGAATTTGGAAAGGAAAAAGGCATCCTAGAAGGATTCCAACAGCCTCATTTTAAAGATGAGGGAACTGAGGCCTCCAAAGTTTAAGAAATTTGCCTTAACTCACACAGGTTGTCTCTGGAAGTTCTGAGCCACTAGGTGAGGTTTCCTGACACCGAGGGCATTTCCCACGACACCACATTGCATCAGTGTTCAAGCCCATCACAGCTGTGGACCTTCTTGCTGGTACTCAGGGCTGCTGGCTTCTGGGACTACTGTCCCATGTCTCCAAGGACTCCTGCTCTCTCTAACTGCTAGGGGTTCCAAGTTCAAATGATGATGGAGAAGACGCCAATGATTTAATTGACCATCTCAGGCCTGTAAAGTAGTTTAATCAACCAATGGGAAAACTTTGGCTCTCTTTAACATTATAATTTTTAAGAACACCATTACAAATATATTATTTCAGAAGAATGACATGCCTTCAGTTGATCATATTAAAGATCATAATAATAGAAGTAAATATGCATATAGATAGAAAATTTAGTTTTTTTCTTGAATTCCAATTTGCATAAACTCACCTCTTCTGTTTCATTTTTATTCATCACCACCTCCCTCCCAAACTCTCCTTTGTTCCTCCCTTTCTCTGCACATACTCCACTATTTGTTTCTATGTTCAACCAGAATATAAGTTTCCTGAAGCTAGGAATTATAGCTTATCTATCTATCTTTTTCTTTTTTTTTTTGGTGAGGAAGATTGGCCCTGAGCTAACACCGTTGACAATCTTCCTCTTTTTGCTCGAGGAAGACTGGACCTGAGCTAACATCTGTGCCAATCCTCCTCTATTTTGTATGTGGGATGCTGCCACAGCGTGGCTTGATAAGCAGTGTGTAGGTCCATGCCCAAGATCCAAACCCATGAACCCGGGGCTGCTGAAGCGGAGCATGCGAACTCAACCACTACACCACCAGGCCTGCCCCTTATCTATCTTTTTATTCACTTCACCTCAACAGGCCTACCCCTTGACCTGTTGAAAGCACACAGTAATGTTTTCTGAATAAAGGTTTGACACTTTCACATGTATATATAAATGCAATTTTTTAAAAACTCCAATTTGAGAATAACTATAAAAAGTTTGATCTACAAAAGATTGTTAGAAATAATTCAATACAACCAGTTGCTTTGACAGATGATGAAACTGAGGTCAAGAGTAAGCAAGTGGCTCAGAGCCAGCCAACCAGTAGGAGCCTGGGTGGGGATGCCCACCCTGTCCCCTGTGTCTGTCTGCTGCTCTTTTCAGTGTGTTCCTTGCAATCACTTTCCACATACAAATTAAATCATTCAGATATTGAAATGATAGGAAGGTATAAATGCCCTGATTATGCACTAGAACTCTGACACACTGCACTCTCTGTATTCAAATCTCCAACAACCCCTGGGACATAGTAGGTATTCAGTCAGTTTGGGTTTCTACATCCCTTTTTTCCTTCTCTCCCCCAAACTTCCACATCAATCACTTTAAAGATTGCTGACATACCAAGTGTGCATTATCTCACAAATCAAAGTTAGCGTGTTGACAAAGCCATCTACGATGCTTGTAGAAGCCAATGGTACTGACCCCAAGGCTGCTCTCATGTGAATGATGGAAGTGCTCCCCAAGGTGCATTCTTGGGAGAAAAGGGGATGCCCATGGGGATGCTCTGAGGGGAAATGGGGATGCCCATGGGGACGCTCTGAGGAGAAATGGGGATGCCCATGGGGAAGCTCTGAGGAGAAATGGGAATGCCACCATGGGGAGGCTCTGAGGAGAAATGGGGATGCCACCATGGGGAGGCGCCAATAGAGAGGGTCTCATTGCATTTCCAAATGCCACGTCCCTTCTTCCTCAGCCAGATATGCCTCCAAGAAGAAAGATTCCTACTTGTCTGTAGACTTCTTTGGGATACACAAGTTGAATCCATAGGATGGTGGATTCTTTGGATAAGAATTTCTGTACATCAAGGGCCTCCCAATAAGTTATCTACCTCCCCTCACAAGTTACCCCCCAAAAGTCAATGTGAGTTGAACCACTTAGAATACCTGTTAGCTTCTGCATAAGACGTTCTCAAGTCTACTCTGATTCTTAATTTTGACGGTTCTCTTTAATAGAATGAAGCCTTTTAGTCTTGTTTGGGATTAGTTTACCGCTTAATAAATTCCTTCCAACACTATGTTCTGTGAGTCAACAAGCAGCTTCCCCTGTGATTTGAGCCTGGCTAACAACAAATAGAGTTTAGAAGACTGAGGGCCAGGCAGAGGCATTTTCCAGGTGGTGCATTCCCACTTTGAAGAAGCTTGATCATTTTACTTTTGTGTGTGTTTGAGTAACACGTCCTTTGGCTGAAAATAACACAAGTCAACTTTTGGAATGCCCTCCTCTGTACCACTGATGTGTTGACTTCTAGATTATATTTTAGGCTGGACTAACACCAAAAACATGTTTCAAAGACAGTTGAAAATGCCAAATTTGAAAATCATTTAAATAATTTAAAGTATATGAAGCGTAGTGAATTCTCAGCCAACATTTTAACTAGGTATTTATTGAGAACCAACAATGGGTAGCTTTGTGCTGAATACCATGTAAGGCATTAAAAGATGTATTGGTACAATTATTTTCCCTAAGCTGATGTCTGTTCCTAACACATCTTGAATTTTTCCACCCTTGCCCTTAGTAACTTGATTCGAAAAAGAGTTTCTCCCAGCTAGTTTGCTGACGTATAGTCACCACTGATTTTGTCTCATGCTGTCCAACCAACTCAGTACGGTCTGAAATCGGACAGCTTGAAGTGTCAGGTAAAAATCCTTATAAAGAGGGTACAGATTTTGGAGTTGCAAATAGTTAACTTTGGGCTTCTACTTGAGACAAAAAGTGACTTCATTTTATTAGAGAAAATGTCAGTCAAGACGTGACTACTGACACCCGTCTTTGTTTTGCCAGCCAGTAATAAAAGCTAGAGGAAATGGAGGAGCTGCTGCTAGGCATTTCAACACACAAAGTCCTTGTTTTCCCACTAGGCGCTGCAGAAAAGCATTGTCCACTCACTGCACATCCTCTGCATTTCGGAGCTAATATCTTTGCAGTTTTTAACTTGCTACATTATAGTCTTATGCAGTTAATTTTGTTAACCCTTTGAAATGCACTGTTTGATACCTTGCTTAATATTACTGCTAACATGACCCAGTTTTTACATTTCTATTTCTCAATGTTGAGCATAGAAACCTTTAAAAAAAAATCAAGTAAGAAATTTTGGAAACAAAGTAATGGCTTCAAGTAATCCTGTCTTATTTGCTATTGCATAACTTTGAGAAGGGTAATAAGGAAATCCATGTTAACCATATATTACTTGAATTGCTTTTATAAAATTGACTCTGGATTGGAATGATTTTTAGCAGGGGTCCCCCTCAACACGTAACAACGACGTGTCTTTGAAAACAACAGCAGCCCAGCGTTATCTGCCTGCTTCCTGCAGCATTTAGCGTGTGCACTGTACATGAATGCATATGCCTGCCCCCGGGGCAAAGAGCTTTCCTCGAACATTTTCATAGTCACTCTGGCTAAAGCAAATGAAGAAGAGAATCGACAAATGATTAATTAGTCCCCAGGCTCAATCACTTAAGTCTCTAATTAAATATCTCACTCTGCTTTCAACTATTGCAGGAAAAGATAATTAGCATATTTCCAGCGCTAATACAGAAGTTTTTATTTTCCTTTATAAATAATATCTAAATCATCAGTCATATAACTCAGTGCCTGCATCTCCCCTGCTGACTTGTAAATCCAGAACATTTTTAAAAAATACAACAAGGCGATAAAGTGCATTTTCCTCAAGAATACATTTTTCTGACACACGTTCTACAGGTTTTTCTACCTTCAATCTCATTACCACCTTCTTCCTCTCTCCCTGCTATTGCTTCCCCTTGAGTCTGCTATCAACCAACAAGACAAACTCAAGAAAAAAGCCGATCTCCTTCTTCCCTGCTCCGCAACCCGCACCAATCTCTTTACCAATATTTTCTCATCCTGCCCTACCGAAAAGAAAAATGACCCAACTCTAAAATTTACACTGGAGAAGAAGTAATGCATTCACTTAAAAAAAAAAAAGCAGTCCTCCTCCATGGGGGCTCAAAATGCAGTGAAAATGCCAGAGTCCCTCCTTGGGCTGATTGGAATGAAACGGTTAATTCAGGGTAAGTGATAATGTGTAGTCAGTTCGCCTAGAAAAAGGAAGGAAATTCAAAAGCTGGTTGCTGTAGTAACCATCACAGACCAAAAAATACATATGTCCAGGTTCATTTTAAATAAAACTCCTGCTATCTCTCTGGGATTCTGTTCTCAAGAAAAATGAGCTTGCCGCTTAAATTCGTTGTACCTACCTCAACCATTAAACAAGACATTTAACCATAGTGGCAGTTCTGTGACCTTTGAATGCCGTGAAATCTCTGAGCGGTGCTGCTCGGTCATGAAGACTTGTGCTGCAGAATCCAGCAACTTCATCCAGGATTAGGAATATAATTAAGTAAAAAAAAAAAAAGAAAGAAAGAAACACGAAAGCACACAGAGCGATCGAGAGAGAAGGAAGGTGGAAAGAGTCTCTCTGGGCGAGTCCACCACTTTTCTCCCAGACAAGTGCTGGACGGGAGCCGAGGCTGCTGCAGTGCCCAGACCCACCGACTGGCTGGGGGAGCAGGCGGCCGGCCTTCGAGGCTGGGAGGTGCTGTCAGTTGCCACAGGCAAGGGGAAGCAGAGACCAATCGGCTTCAACTCTAGCAGCTTACTGGAGTGGAGCCTTTTCTGTTTGTTTCCTCATTTCAAGAGTGACGTCAAAGGGTTTAGTTTTTCCTCTGCATGTGCTATTAATTTTAAAGTGCTGTGCTATGGGAAGAATGCTTGTGTGCCTGTGGTTAGCCTGGGCACCTCACTCTCAGGAGAACCCAAGAAACATTTTCTAGATTCAGGAATAAATCTTTAAAATTTAAAAACCCTTGCAGCTAGGTGTATCAACAAAACAAAAACAAAAAATAGACAAAAATCCCTGAGCTAAATAATAGCAGCAAGATTTATACTTTTTCCAAATGTGAGTGTATGTACATATGCCCACTTCACAGCTGTTGCTTATTTTTGAACTAATTCATTTTTACCCTTACCTAAAAATGAGTCATTAATTAACCTTTTAGCCATGGATGCAGAATTGCACACGTGAGCTGGTGAAAAACGCTATGTGCCGTGAGAAACAGAGATCGTGTTTATCTGCCGACCCCTGCTCTTCCTTCTCCCCTCCAGCTTCCGTGGTGAAGCGTGGGGACCACTAACGCTGGGAGAGCCCTCCTGCACCCCCACAGGGAGCCCTTCAAGAAGGAGGCAAGGGGACGCCCTGCAGGCAGCCTGGGTCTCAGCACGCCCTCTCCCACAGGGTGTGAAGGCACAGTGGTCTAGGGACACTTCCCCTCCCAGGCCCAGCCTACCCCTGTATTCCTCCTGCTGCCCTGGAAGCCTTGGGGGTGGCCATCCGCTGTTTCTGCCTCCCCCATACTCTTCCTTCTCCCCCCGCCCCATTCTGCTAACACAACCTCTTTTTTTGGAAACTTCCCTTCCTCTGTCTGTGGATACATAGCCTTCCCCTCTCTCCCATCCCCACAGCAGAACTATAAGGGCATGTGACCCAGACTGACCAATCAGGTTTCCCCATCACTCTAGACAGAGAACGTTTCAGGGGTAGGCACCACACTCAGAAAGGCCTGCGCCCTCCTTCAAGTATTAGTAGTGGTTCTTTGAGAAGGGAGGTGTTTCTCTCTCTCTAAGATCTGACGAGCTGGGGGTGTGCAAGCCTGTAGTTGTCGGGGTTCATCTGTGATGCTGAAGACATAGCAGTGAAGAAAAAAGATAGGATCTGCTTGCATGTCGTGTACACTTGGGGAAGGGTGAAGAGAGGCAATAAAAATAAGCAAATATATAGTGTCAGTGGGTAACAAGGGCTTTGAAATAAAGGAAAGTAAGGTCACAGAGTAGTGTGTGTCTGTGTGCATGTGTGTATATGTGTATGTGTGTGTAGGTATGTATATGCATGTGTGTACATATGTGTGTATGTGTGTGCACGTGTATGTGTGTATATGTGTATGTGTGTACGTGTGTATGTATGCACGTATATATGTGTGTGTGTATGTATGACTGTGTGTGTATATGCATGTATATGTGTGTGTGTGCATGTATGTGTGTGTGTGTGTATTTGCATATAGAATTGGCAGGATTTCAAGACGTGGTGTGTGAGAGGAGAGGAGGAATCAAGGATGATCCCCAGGCCCCTGGCTTGAGCAACTAGAACAGAGTTGACCCTCGCTGATGTGGGGAAGGCAAGGAGAAGTAGCTGGTGTTGAGGTGAAAGGAAGCACGGTCTGGACCTTCATTCAGCAGCAACAAAGATGTACTGCTTGCCCCCTCTGCACCAGACACTGTTCTAAGTGCTGGAGACCAAGCAGAGAAAAAACAAACAAAAAAGCCCTTGCCCTCATGAAGCTTAATTCTTCTGAGGAGACACAGACCATAACAGTAAATTAAAATTGTTACAGGGTATTTACTAGTGATAATATTGTGTAGAGAAACTTCTGACAGGGCGGGGTTACTGGTTAGAAAGGGGCTTGCAATTTTACATGGAGTTGCCAAGGAAGGTCTCACTGCAGAGGTGACATTTGAACAAGACTGAAGTTGAGGAGGAAAGAAGATGGGGCAGAGTGTCCCAGGTGGGGGTGGGGGGTGGGGAGTGGGGGGACATGTCAAGTGTGGAGGCTCTGAGGTGGGAGAGTGGCCAGTGAGTAGTCGGCGATGGCAGTGGGTTTATAGGGACGGATCATGCAGGGCTTTACAGGACCTTGTAAGGACTTTGGCTTTTACTCTGAAAGAAATTGGGTTTTAAGCAGAGGAGTGAGGTGATCTGACTCACATTTTGATAGGATCACTGTGGCAGCTGTGTGGAGGTCAGAGTGGAAGAAGGGGGGCCAATAAAGGGTGTATTGCAATAAAACAAGCCAGAGACCACTGTGGTGTCGACCAGGATGGTTTTGGTGGAAGTGGCTAGAAGTGGTTGGCTTCAGATTATATTTTGATGTTAGAGACAATAAGGTTTGTTAAATGAATTGGATGCTAGGGAGGCAGATGAGTAAGAGGAGCCAATAATATCTCCAAAATGTTGGGTTCCATCAAATGGAAGAATGGAGCTGACATTGACCAAGAGACAATGGGAAGTACAGGTGTTTTGGGGAAGATGAGAGTGTGACAGTGACCACGTACATTTGCCTGTAAGATGTCTACATGGAGATGGTGAGTAGGTAGTTGAATGTGCAAGCCTGGAGTTCAGGAGACAGTTTTGGGCTGTAGATATAAATTTGGAAGTCATTGTATATGCATAGTACTTAAAGCCTAGAGACTAGATGAGATTACCAAGGGAATGAGTCCAGATGGAAAAGCCCGGGCAGTCCAAGATTAAGTAGTCAGGAATATGAGGAAGAACCAGCAAAGGAGACTGAGAAAGAGCCTCCAAGAGGTAAGAAAATAACTGAGAGGGTGATATCTTGAAAACCAAATGAAATTTTCAATGATCAGCTTTGTAAAATAAAAGTTAGATGGAGACTGAGAATTGATCCTTGAATTTAGAATTTAGAATGTGTAATCATTTGAATTTAGAATGTGTAATCGTTTGGGCCCTTGACAAAATCAAATTCAGTACAGTAGAGAAGGTGAAAGGTTGAGAGAGAGTGGATGGTGGAGACTTGGAAGCATATAATATGGACAATTCTTTCAAGGTGTTTTCCCCCAAAACAGCAGAGAAATGGCACAGAAGGGAGAGTGGAGTCAAGGGAACATTTTGAACATCAGAGAAATATCAGCATTTTGTATACTGATAGAAAAGATCCAGTTGAGAGTAATAATTAGTGATTCAGAAGAGAGAGGGAAAGCTTTTCAGAGCACAAATGGAGTGTGTGATAGGCAGAATGGCCCTCCAAGGATGTCCACACTCTACTCCCTGGAATCTGTGAATATATTATATTACACAGCAAAAGGGACTTTCAGATATAACTGAGGTTATGGATCTTAAAAGAGAGAGATTGTCCTGGATTATCTGGGTGTGCTCCATCAAATCACATGAGCCCTTAGAAGCAGAGAACTTTCTCTGGCTGGAAGCAGAGGAGAGATGCGGCAGAAGAAGTTAGAGAAATTCCAAGGATCAGAAGTATTCGACACACTGCTCTTGGCTCTGAGATGTGGGACCCAGCTCAAGGACCAGAGAGAGGCCACTAATAGCTAAGGGCTGCTCTCAGCTGACAGCCAGCAAGGAAACAGTCACATTAGTCCTACAGTTGCAAGGAATTGGATTCTGCCAACAGCCTGAATGAACTTGGAATGGATTCTTCCCAGAGCCTCAAGAAAAGGACACAGCCCTGCTGACACCTTGTTTTCAGCCTTGTGATATTCTAAGCAGAGTACCCAGCCAAGCCCACCTGTAGGTCCATGAGCTAACAAAGTTTGTGTTAACCTGTTATAGCAGTGATGGAACACTAATACAGAGTGATTGGCTTTAGAAAGCAGCATGGATAATTCATCAGTAGAAACAGAAGAGAAGGCAGAGTAAATGATGGAGGTACTGCTAGGTGGGTTGTGGTGGTGGCACAAGATTGTGAAAGTTCTCTGGGACTTCTAATTTCTCAGCGAAATAGGAATTAGGAGTTGGAAGAGAGAAGATAGGAGAGTGGTGGAGGTTTGAGGAGAGAAGGTGTGAAATACTCATCCAGGAGAGTAAAGAGCAGGAATTATCAGAGAAGTATACTATGATGGCCAGGAGCACTAGGGGCATATTGAGTTTAGTGATACCACACAGCATGTTACCTTTACAGGTAACATGAGATAGCCAAACAAAATGTCATATGGGCAGTTTTGAGGTAATTCTGGAGAGCCAAGGGCAGATGAAATGGTACTGAAAGTCGTGGGAAGTCAGGAAATCACTTAGGGGATGAGAATAGACTCAGAGTCTGAACTCTGAAATCTTCTAACAGTTCGATATTGGGAAATTGAGGATGATCCAGCAAAGGAGACCAAAAAGGAGTAGCCACAGAGGTAGATGCATAAGACAGTGGTCTCTCAGAAGTCAAGTCACAACAGTCAGTGCGTTAATGCTATGGACTGAACTGTGCCCACCTCACCCCCCCAATTCATATGGGAGGTTGAAGCCCTTACCCCCAATGCGACTGTATTTGGAGATAGGGCCTCTAAGGAGGTAGTTAAGGTTAAATGAGGTCGTAATGGTGGGATCCCAATCCGATAGGTCTGGTGCCCTTCTAAGAAGAAGAGACACCAGAGCTCTCTCTCCACCACGTGAGGATATGGCCAAAAGGCCGCTCTCTGCAAGCTGGGAAGAGGGCTCTCACCAGATGCCAACTCTGCTGGCACTTTGATCTTGGTCTTCCAGGCTCCAGAACTGTGAGAATATAAATTTCTATTGTTTAAGTTCCCAGACGATGATATTTTGTTATTCAACCCGAGTGTACTAATACTGTCAGTGATGTGAGTCAATGAATTCTCTTTTTTGCCGGTGGCCATTTAAGTTAGGCTTCTGTTACTTATAACAGGAAGAGTCCTAACAAATTCAATATACAGTGTCAATGTTTCCTAGAGGTGACTGTCAACTCTCCTCTCCATGATATAAATACTT